TTCAAGTTGCGACCTAACCTGGTTTTACGCTGAAAACTTTTTTCTAAGTGTCCAGACTTGTTCTTTTGCATAGCCTTATTTTATGCACATACTTTGAGAGTGTATAGCACTTCATACACCTCAAACTCACTGAGCATTATTTGAAATCATTGAGTTTGTCTTAGTTTTGAAATATACACTTGGTAAATATCAAAGTTTTGACACTACTTTTCTCTTTCACTCTATTTGTACTTGATTTTGAGTAATTGTGCATGCCTAGAGCACGTAGAGGTAAGAGAGGTAGACATACAGGATCTCGTGGCCCACTTCTTTTATGAGACCAATCCCATTCATCTAGTGAGAGTTAGGAAGTAGAAGAGGAAATCATGGTTGAAATACCTCCGAATGGTGAGAATGGGAATGACAATCATAATAGACCTAATAATGGTGGTCATGAGGAGCAGGGAGAGAATAATGGCTAGAATAGAATCCCTGGACAACCTAGGGGTAGAACTATCAAGGAATTAACTCAATTTGATAGAAATTTTGATCCTATGCCTGGTGTTTTTCCTACTTTTAATGCAGATTTTGAAATTAAAGGTTAATTGATCTACTTACTACCCAAATTTCATGGTCTTGCAGGAGAAAATCTGTACCTTCATCTCCGGACTCTACATGCAGTGCTTGTCCATGAAGCTAGTAGGGGCAAGCATCGATGATGTTATGTGGAAGGTGTTTCACCTATCCTTAGAGAGAAAAGCGAAAGAATGATACATGAACCTACCGCTCTATGTGGACAACGCTTATGAATCTTGGACTAGTCTGAAGAAAGCATTCTTAGACAAGTATTTTCCCTCCATCAAGATCTTAGCTACTGGGAAGGAAATTTCTGCAGCTAAGCAAGAACCATTCAAGTCATTCTTCGAATACTAGAGCCAATTTCAAGAAATGCTTACTTGGTGTCCCAACCATCAAATTCTTGAGGAACACTTGGTACAGTATTTCTACAATGGGTTGTTGACATACGATGCCCAAGTCTTGCATGCCGCTGCAAATGGATCTGTGGAGAATATGGAACCACGGGCTGCATGGGAATTGATTAAAACTTTTGCTCTTAACCGACAATATGTAGGCTCAAGGGATCCAAGGGACCACAAAACTGAAAGGGATCCACTGTTGGTCAAACTAGCACAAGATATGTTCAAGCTTGCAAATGTTACACCTTACTATAAGGGAAACTTAGAGTTTGATTAAAATCATTTCAGACCATATTAGAAAAACGCTGATTTTCGGATTTTTACTGTTCATCGGGTAAAAATCCAGTTTTCTGGTCCAACTTCAGAAATTCATAACTTAATCTAGAAAAATTGAAATGGAGTGGTTCAAAATTCTATAGAAATCTCTTTGAATGTTATTTCAAGAAAAAATAATCTTGTGAACCAATTCTATTTAGAAAATTGTCAGGTTTTTGTAAAAGTCACCTCTGTCTTTTTGGTAAAAACTCTTTTTCCAGATTCTGGACCTTAACTTTAAAAAATCATTAAAAATCGTATAGTTGGTCATTTTTAACATGCTACCTATTGATTTAAAGCTCATGACGTGAACTTTAAGCATACCAAATTTCATGACGAAATCTAATTTGACGTCCTACTTAGGGATTACAACACCAACATACTTATACATAACCAAATATAAATATTTCCTCATGGTTCATCACCATATTTATCCTTGGATTTGCAGCCTCCTTTTTGATGATTCAGTCCCTAAAATGTTAGGTTACATATGGGGGATAAGATTTCAATGAAATCCCAGTAGCAAGATCAATAAACCAAAATATCAACATCAATTACAAGCATTCCAACCTTTTGCTATTAATAGGGAACTATTTTACCTCATACATGTAGCACTCTAACATGCAATAGCCAAGGCACTTAAAGCAAGGAGTATAGTTACACAATCATCATCATCATCATCTAGCTCAACCATATAATAGCACATGAAATTGCATAGCAATCAATGCAACAATCAACATTAAAGTTAATTAAATCTTACTATCTTAATCCAAATGCTCTTGATTCTTTGACCTTCTTCCTCTTCTCCACAATTAACAAACCCTAATCATGATATATCACAAAAAGGACAGTAAGGTTACCAACCATTCCATATAAAATTAACAACATAATTCAAGTAACTCCTAAACTCCTTAAAGCTTCCATTTTTGTTGTTAGAATTTTTAGAGTTTATTTTCTTAACCCTAAGAATTCCCTCTTAGCTCATTCCTATATGATTTTTCATGTAGATTCCAAATATATACTTGGAAATAAAACTCCCTCTTCCAGTTTTAGCTTCGCCGAACCATAGGGTTCATTTTCTAAAAATTACAACTTTGGCTTTAATGCTTCTAGCCTTTGTTTTTTAGGTTCATCCTACACCATTTTCCATTTTGAACACAATGGAAGCCTCAAAACATTGAAAAACTCATCCTAGGGTACAGCTCTTGCCTTGGCCGAACAGTACCTCTTGAGAAACAATAAAGAAATCTCTTCAAAAACAGCATACAGCCACTTGTAACCACTTGAAATAACCAAGATTTGAAGTGTTTTAACAAGTTTGAACAACAAAACTTCCTCCCCTACATAAAGATCATTTTGGCCAACAACTAAGAGGAGGATAAACAAAATTTTCCAACCATACAACTTAAGTAAACAAGCAAGGAATCATCTTAGAACAACTTACCAAGCTTGAATCTTAGTTGGAAGATCAAAGTAGCTTGCTTTTCTCTTGATTTCCCTTCAAGCTCACTCTTTTCTCTCTTGGTCTCTCCTTGGCTGAAACTCCATCTGATTTAGGGGGAGGTAGAGCTCAATTAAGTGCACAAAATATCCCAACAACCATCATAAATGCAAAGCCAGGTGTCATCTTCCTACTTAGTCTTGAAACTTCTCTCTTAATTAAGTAAATCATAATGTAATTAAATTTCAGAGTCAAGATCCTCTCCACTTAATGCTTGACACTTGGAAAGCTTAATTACTCTCTAATAGGAGCTTGACAAGTGGCAACTTGTGAGCCAAGTAAAGTGCAAGACTCTAGTCTTCACTTTACCGGTGCACTTTTACTCCGAGTTTAATTTCTTTTCCATAATTACAGTACTCTAGCCTTTGTAATTATTTTCTATTAGATCCATAAATTATTCTCCTCATTTTTCTCTTCCCAAAATGCCCTCTTCATATCAAACTCAATTTTCCATTAATTAAATAAAAAGGAAAACTATTTTCCTTCTCATTATTGATTTTTCCACTTGTCCAAATAATTAGGAAAAATCTTGGATATTTGAGGGTGTCTTTTTAATCCCATAATTTCTTATAATTGCTTGGGACATCATAGGAATTTTTTTGGGATTTTATTCTCTTTCCCAATATTTTTTTGGAATTTTCCAAATAAAAGGCCTTAAACTGGCTTAAATCGTCCTTAAATTTCTTTGTAATTTCTCTAAGGGGTAATTTGGTCATGAAACCAATTTTATAATCCCATATAATTCTCAAAGGATATTATCCTTATTTTTTCTTAATTTTTCAAGACTTGGAAACATTTTTCCAAAATTATCTTTGACCAATTTTTCTTAATTAGCCAAACTTTCATAATTGTCTTGGAAAATCATAATAATCATTTCCACCAAAATTCTTCTATTTATCCTTGTCATTTTTGACCCTTAATTACTTAGGAATATTCCTTATTCCTAATTTACCCTATTGTCGGATGTGATAGCAAACACTGTTGAAAGTCTCCGCTCCAACAAGCCACAGTCTCTTGCTTTAGTGGCTACAAGTTGTGGGGTTTGTGACTCCCCGATGCACACAACTCAGAATTGCCCTGGGCCAGGCGAAGAAGTGAATGCCATATACCAAGAGAGAGGGGTAATATCAGAAAAGGGACCCTAGATCACCTAAAGCTTAGATGGGGTGGGGGAGCGAATAGGCCAAATCAATTCCAAGGAAATTAGTTCAGGGCCTCTTCAAGAAACTTTCAAGATTCCTTAAGAGCCGTAGTGACAGCACCACCTAACACTATGGTGTCTCAACCACAAAAGGAGGATGAAACAGCCTGATTATTGAAGAGCATGGTGGCCCAGATGACAAACATTGAGGGGCAAATGAAGGAGAGCGATGATAAGTTCGTCTCCATAACCACTATCTTGCAAGGAATGTAAAAGGACAACTCAGATGTTCACAAGAAATTAGAGGAGCTCACTCTGAAAAATATTGATATCACCAGTCATTTGACCCGACTGTCTAATACAGTCAATGACATGCAAGCCAAAAGTGGAGGAAGTATTCCTTCTGACACAGTGATCAATCCTAAGGCACTTAATGCTATATACTTGAGAAGTGGCAGAAGGTCCACTTTGAAGGTGATAAGGCAGATGAAGATAAATCTGAGCAAGAAATAGAGAGCCCTTCCCTCACTTCTATGAAGTTGGGCAAATCTGAAAGTTCAAAAGAGTAGGAGCTTTTGATGAGGAAGAGATCCAAAGAGAATAAAGATGCTTAAGAGGAGGAAAACACTATGGAAGGATTAAAATGTAAGGGCAAACAAAGGAAAGACAAAGCGGAAACAAGCACTCATAGAGCCTTAAGCAATGAAGGTAAGGAGGTAAATCTCAATGAACTCCCTTTTCCTCACTCTTACTTGAAAAGTATAAAAATTGCTAATGAAAAGCAAGATAATGAGTTGCTTGAGACTTTCAGAAAAGTTGAAGTGAATATACCCTTGCTTGAACTGATTAAAAAGATCCCTAAGTATGCCAAAGTTTTAAAAGAGTTGTGCACACATAAGAGGAGGTTTAAACCTAATGAAATAGTACAGTTGCCCTCTAGTGTGTCTGCTTTGTTTCCTTCACTATACTTTGTACTGTAGGTAGGACAACTTTTCCTAAGGCTTTACTTGATTTAGGTGCTATCATTAATGTTATGCCTAGGTCAATGTATGAGTCCTTACAAATCAAAAGTCTTAAACCTACCACCATGATGCTCCAGTTAGCTGATAGGACCATGAGGTACCCATATGGCTTCTTAGAGGATATCCTAATGAAAGCCATAGACTTAGTTATCCCTGCTAATTTTTATGTCTTGGATATGCCTAATGAACAAGGTGGGGATGGGACCTTAATTTTGGGTAGGCCCTTTCTAAGAACTGCTAATACTAACATTGACATGCAAAATGGGTCTATCACTATGTCTGTTAGGGATAAATTTGCTTATTTCAATATGCATGAACAAATGAAATAACCACATGAAGACTATTCTATGTGTGATGTTAATTTTATTGATGGGTTGTTCATTGATGAGCTTCATAATGTTCATAAAATGCATGTTTCATCCCCTGCTTCTGACTCTGCTTCCCCTTCCCTCTTAAATGGTAGTGACGTGAGTTGTTCTACTTTTTATTAGTTAGATTACACCCATCCCACTCCATCTAATTCTACTATCACTAATAATACACTTAGGAAGTCTTCTACTAACCCTCTTGAACTCGAGAAAGGCCTTGTTTTTTATGTTAATGCAAGTGTTAGTAAAGCTGCAAAGACTTCTAAGAAGAAGAAGTGCTTCAACCTTTTCAGGGAGCTGCGTGCCCTGAATGTTGTGCATGGACCAGTTATAACTCCAGTTGCCCTCCACTCTACCGTCTCTACACCCTCAACTAAGAAAGCTAATCAAGAGACAGTGGTTACTCCTACGGATAGCAAGAAAGTGGATTCTGAGAAAGAGAGTAAAAAGCCTACATCTCTCAAGCTTTGTTCTAAGGCGAAGAAGAAAATTAAGACACCCTCTGCCACTTTCCCTCCTCTCTCCATTGACCACTACACGGTCATTGATCTGGTCTATGAAGACCCTTTCCTATTAACTCCTGAGGAGGCTGTAAAGATTAAATCTGGTGCTGAGGTGTGGGCTATGCTGTCCACTTATCAGACGCCTAAAGCTGAGAAAAGGGCCAAATGGATTGGACCCTTTGAAGTTCAGTCAACATGCCAGCATAGGAAGGTTGTAATGAGGGATGCTGAAGGCCAGTTCTTCCAAGTAAAAAAGGAGCGTCTTCGTTTCTTCAAGGAGAGCTATCAGCCTCCATGACACCTCAAGTCACTTCTTTCTTTACCTATCTTGTTTACCATGTTTTGCTTTGTTTTGATTGATTTGCTTATTGCATATGTTAGTGAGATAAGTGTGGGGGAGAGAGCCGACCAGTAGGAAAAGTATTTTAGCTTAAATTAGGTTGTCACTTTTCAATTCAATAATTTTTCCCTTTCTGTTTTTGTCTTATGCCCGTCTTCCTTTGTGCTTAATGGCTTGCTTGGTCATGCAGTGAGGACACTGCCGCGCTTAAGTGTGGGTGAGGGAGTTATTTGATAATTTTTGATTGCTCCTGTGTTTGCTTCAATTTTTGAAAAAATAAAATAAAATTTTTGAAATTCAATCTTTCATCATCATTCTTTAGCTTTGAATTGATTTTAGATGGTGAATTACTGTGAATTGGATCATCTTTGACTGTTTTGGTGCTTGCTGAAAAGGTTTTACTGATTGAAATTGCTTAAGCCACGTCGCGACCTCACTGCTTCATGTCGCGACCTGAGATGTGGTTTTAATAGGGAGGACTTTCTGTGTATTCAGGTCGCGACCTCACTTATTCCTCCTAGTCACGACCTCAACCTCCTGTCCCTGACTTAGTGCTCTCTGTGTATTCAGGTCGCGACCTCACTGATTTCAGGTCACAACCTGGCCTCTTTTGCTGTGTATCACTTTCCTTCTATTTGCTTTTTGTAATGCTATGTAGGAGGAATTTTTTTAAGCACCCTTTGCATCTTTTTCAAGCAAACCACTACCTTTTTAATCTACCCTCATTGCGTCAAACAGTTTTTCTTGAAAATCATGCCCATCCTTGGACTTTTAAGAATAATAGATTTTGAAAATGATTTCTCTAAGACTTTATAGTCACTTTTGAGATTCAAGTATGTTCTTAAGTGATTATTTTGATTTTTTTTAATCCTTATCTTATGGGTTGCTTTTGTAATAATATCCTAATGCCTTGTGACTAATGCATATTGATTGAAACTTCTTGTATGAGTAATTGAGATATGAAACCCTTCTTGGAAGGATATTCTTGAGCCTTAATTCCTAAATTGAGTGATTATTCATTGGTTTGCATCCTCTAGAACTTGTTTTAGCTCTTGGTCAAAATTACGTGTGCATTTATGATTTTTAAATACGATAGAAGCATTCTTTCTACACCTTTTTACTCAAACACAATCCACAAACATCTATCCATTATTCAACCCCTTTTGATCCTTCATTTTCCTTCATTTCATTTACATCTTGAGTGTTTGAACCACAATTTTTATCTAAGTTAATTTTATCTTTACATTTGCGATTTCCTAACCTTCATGGGTTTTCATTGGGAATATCAGTTTAAAAAAAAAGTAAAAAGAAGAAGGAAAGAAAGCAAGAAGAAAAGAAAAGTGAAAAAAAAAGAAAAAGAAAAAGAAGTACATATTTATGTACATAAGCTATAGCATTAGAATAAAATTGAATAAGGTATTCCTTTGGTGGTAGAAGGTTAGAATCTAAGCTTCTTTGTCTAAGAATAGATGATAATTGACTCACATCTCTTTAATCCTCGACACTCGATTTGACCATATTTCCATTCCATCTAGCATTTTCATCATTACAACCCTAAAAGCCCTCTTGATTCTTTATATGAATGTTAAATGGTAGTGGAGATTTTAGAGTTATTACAAACTTATGGTAGGATGTTTACTATTTGAATTTTGAGTGAAAAGAACCCCAATGAGGAGAGAAGAGTGAGTTAAATACTTGTATCCCTTGAGTGAATCTCTGTTGTTCATGTATTTAGAGTCAATTGCATTTTGTATCTAATTACTTGGTATTGTTCATGTTATCTTTTTTGTTTTCCTAAAGGGTGTTGATTATTTAGTTCTTAAGATCATTTTTGAACATACTGGTTTTCTTGATTGTGCCTGTACTTTCTTTGGAATGATTCAAGTCTTTGTCTAAGAGTACAAAGGTTCAAGTGTGGGGGAGTGATAGAACCCTATCTTTATATGGTTTTTTCAAGTATTTTCTGATGTTTTGCAACACTTTTACCCTTATTATGCATGCATTTATAGCTTTTTGATTATATTGGTTCATGCATTGCATTTTGCTGTTTAAAAGGTAAAAAAGGTCAATTCTCCTTCCTTAATTGTAATTGCCTTGATCTGTAATTTGTTAGTATTTACAAAGCTCCCTTCTTGTGATTTTCAGGCAATTGGAGAAGGACCTAAGACCCAAAGATAAAGCATTGATGGAGCAATAATGTTATAAGGACCAAAACACGAGTTTGGAGTGTTCTGCCTCCCCAGGTCGCGACATGGATTGCTGAGGTAGCGACCTGGATGCCCTTTTAATGAAACTACGCGTTTTGGAACTAAGTCAATATTGAATGCTCTTTGTCTTCCTAGGTCACAACATGACACTTATGAAGTTGTGACCTGGTACCCCAAGTCGCGACCTAACACTCCTGAGGTCACGACCAGAATGTGTTAATGAAGCTGTGCGTTTTGGAATAGGTTTCTGAGCTCCTACACTTGAGGGGGGCAGCCACCACAAAAGACACACTCCCATTCTGTAGATTTGCAGAGGGTTGAGCCACCAGCATTTACTCTCAAGTCTTTATTGATCCTACACCCAAAACCTCCATTTTTCTTCACCTCTTCATCATTTTCTACATTTCTGAACCGATTAAACCACTTCAACCACCTTCTTCTCCATTTTTCCAACCCCATTTTTAGTATCAACCATGGCTGTTCATTCCTAAAGTGATTGCGATCGGTTTGAAGACATGAGAGGCTAAACCCTTAGCCTTTTGGTAATGGAAGACAAAGCTTGAGCTCAAGGACCTAATAGGGGAGTTATCGGTCTAAATTTGTGTTTGATTTGTGTTAGAGATTTCTAGATTTAGAGATTTCTGCATCTATTTCAGACTTGATTTGTGATTGTCAATTTTGTGTTTAGACTATTGAATGTATTTGGATTGGATGTTGTTAATGTTGGATCATTCATATATTTATATATATCATTGTGTTCATTTAATTATTAGTAATCATTGGTGATTAATCTGTGTGCTTGGTATTCAATGATTGTCGATTGACTTTGTGAGGACATTTGCATCATCTGTTCATCTACACTCTAAGTGGTTTCTAACAATGTTTTAAGAGATGTTAATTAACTTTGATTAAAGTGAGTTTTTATTAATTAACACATTGGACCCAAGTGATTACTTGGGGTTTTCTTCAGACTTAGAGACTTTCTAAAACTCCCAATCATTTTAAAGAGTAGTGATAGCTGAGTTTTCATCATCAAGAGACTGTTTCATCATAATTCCCTTTTAATCCAAAACATTTCTTCATTCAATTAATATACCAAAAACTTCTAATTCTCTGCATTTTATATTTATTGCACCACCCTTAAACAGTTGAAAACCCCTTTTTTCTTTACTCAAATCATCATGTTTTTTATTACCAATTTAGATTAGGTTGTTTTCCAATAAAGCGCTCCTCGAGAAGAACGATTGGTTGCATCCTATACTACATTATCTGGTGCAATCACAATTTTGATGACCCGGAAGGTGACATTCCGGTCCGATCACCTGGTTTGAAAGGTTCACCAAAGTTGTGAAGGAATCCGGTTACATATAGTGTCAATCTGACCGCACACTATTTGTTAAACACTTAAGAGGAAAGGTAGCTGTTCTAATTGTATATGTTGACGATATTGTTATAACAGGGGATGATATTGAGGAGATAATAAGGTTAAAAGGAACCTTAGCAGCTGCATTTGAAGTTAAAGACCTAGGAAGTATGAGTTGCTTCTTTAGGATGCACATCACTAGGTCAAAAGAAGGCATTTCAGTCTCGCAGAGGAAATACACATTAAATTTACTCAAGGAAACTGGAATGATGGGAGACAAGCCATTGCCAGTTGCTATGGATCCCTCTACAAACTTGGAATATAAAAGGAGGGTGTACTAGTTGATGCAGAAAGGTATAAGCGATTGGTTGGGAAGCTAATTTACCTATGACACACAAGGCCGGACATAAGCTATGCTATAGGAGAAGTCAGTCGGTTTTCATCGCAACCACAAGAACATCATATGGAGGCCATATATACCATCCTGAAATACTTAAAAATGACACCTGGAAGAGGGGTCTTCTTTAAGAAAGGAGAGTTAAGAAATATAATAGTGTATACAGATGTAGATCATGGAAGAACTCGAGTTGATAGAAGATCAAGAGGGTACTTTACCTTTGTATGGGATAATCTTGTAACCTGGATGAGTAAGAAACAAATTGTGGTTTCTAGAAGCAGTGCTAAAGTAGAGCTAAGAGCCTTAGCAAATAGAGTGTGCGAAGGAATGTGGATAGTACGAGTCTTGAAGGAATTAACGATTGAAGTGGACACACCAATTAAGTTACAGTGTGATAGCATGTCAGTAATTCAGATGGTACAAAACCCAGTTCACCATGACAGAACAAAATATGTTGACATTGATTGACACTTTATAAAAGAGAAGATTGAGTCAAGGACCATTGACTTGTCTCATATAAATTCTGGGTCCCAAGTTGCTGATGGGCCATGGGCCTTAAAAACCCTAATCCCATAATAGATTTTATTTTGTAGATTTATTTCCATTTATGAGCTAGATTATGATTATGATTTGATTGTATTTTGAATTCTATTATGGATCCCTACTATCTCGGCTAGATCCCTAGATTAGTGGCCTAATAACTTTTCTGGCTGAGGAGATTTGTGTCTATTTAATCCTGTTAGCTCATTCGAATAAACAAACAATTCAGAATCAAAGAGATTCTTCAAATTCATATGTAATATATTTAGTCATTAATTTTTTTATATGTTAAGTTTTTTTACAATTGTTGTTAAAAATTTTTATAATTGATTCTATATATAGTGTTGCGTGACAAATTGAGTCGGTAAGTGAAGTATGATAATTTTGAGAAATGTTTACGATCGAAAAAGTGACAAGCATAGAATGTATTACATTTTGACTAATAAAATGACTTTCTTTCGAAGCTCAATTTGATGAATTTGCCAACTATATTCAAACACGTGGAGAGGATGAATTGGGTTTGATCAGTGTACAAGTTCTTGAGCATTCCATCTTTAAAGTGAAGATTTGTTTCTTTTTTTTTTAGGGAGTTGTTAGTTTGCAATTCAAAACATGAAGTCATTTGATCAATGACCAAATTTTACTTGGTTGCTTGACATCTGCAAGTTAGTAGCTATGAAAGAAATCTTTTAGTGCACAATAGGTTTTGAGAAAATTAATCATCATAGCTATAAACATTATTCACTCAAATTCGGTGCTTGAGCAAGACTTATGTTGCATTGGAGATGTTGGGAAAAGTCCACCAATGCACCCTTGATGGATAAGCTCAAGTCTATTATAAGTGGAGTACATACAGTGAATAAGAGAAAGTATGTGTAATATATCCCTTTTTGTTTGAAAGAAGGGGAAGTAATGGTTTCGCACCAGTAAAAACAGTTATTTATATTTATATATGTGGATGGGTGGCAATAGTAAAGATGGAAGAAAGTCAAAAAGAAAAACACAATTTTCTTGTCTGCACTCCAACTCTCTCTTTCTCCATCATTGCTTTTTGCTGTGTAATACTCTGGTACCTAATGTAAGACCTAATTAATAAATTTGAGCATATTAAGGATGTTAGTTAAATTAGTTAATATGATATATTTTTTTTCTTAAAATACCTTACTCATCTTTAATTTTCTCCCTCCCTCTCCTATTTGATTATTATTGAGAGAATATCAATATGGTTAATTGGAAAAAATTGATAAACATGTAAAATAGGTTTTACATATAGAACCAACATCAACTCTTAAATTAAGTCATATATTAAGAACTAGAGGAGTATAAACGGATGCGAATTGTGACTATTTTCTTTTGGGTGGGTAGGTTAACTATGTCAGATTCAAAGGTATATTCATTTTATGGGAGATAATGCTTTGCGACCAATAAATTTCAAAAACCTTAATTGGCAAATAAGATAGGCAAGGCAATGTGCAAGTTTGTTATACTATCTCCAGTTCTAATTATAAGACCTTGTTTGTTGTCTACAAACTACAAACGAGATTTTATAATTAGGACCGAAGGTAGTAGTAAATAATGATCTTCAATTGATTAGAGATGCGCCAATGACTTTATAACTTAATGGTATGAAGAATGTGTTACAAGTGGGAATTTACTAATTCGATCTCGCTTATAATCTTAAGTTGTTAGTATGTTCTCTTTTAATTGAAAAAGGAAAAAAAACAAAAAAATTAAACAAGATGCAAATACAATGGAAATAACATGTGACAACCTAACAACACATGAAGATTAAACTGCGGGTAAACTCGTCCTTCACAGATTGACCCGTAGGTTGGAAGTAGAATGGATTAAGTTGAGCCAACCAACTTAAAAGTGGGGTTGGGGACTTGGGGTTTATGGGTAATGTGACATCCATATTTTATTTAATAAATCGGTATATTTATTAAAAAAGAAGAAGAAGAAGTTATTGACCATATCCAATTTCACAAAATTGCATGATTAAATTTTAGAACAGATGTATTCAAATCAACAAATCTAAGAAAACATATGCAAATCTCCAAATGTAGAACAAATAAAAAACAGGAATCAATCATTATCAGTATATTAATAGATAATTAGTTAATTATATAAAATTAAAATAACACTAATTTTATTATTTTTTGCTAATTAATGCTAAGTTTATGAAATATGATATAAATCAAGAACATTTAATAAAACAACAATGCTTTGTAATTTTCAATGAGTAAATAATTGGATTAGAGTTAGACTATTGGCCATTCTTGTAAATGGTTTGATTTAGAGAGAAAAAAAAAACTGCTTTTACGGTTGACTTGGGTTAGACCAGAAAAACAAATTTTGGGCATGATAAAAGAACACGGAAGAAATGATAAAAAAACAAAAAATAATTAAAAAAGAAATTTGGCCCTATAATATGCATATAATTGAGCTAGGGTGAGGACCGAAAAACCCAATGATCTATATCCAGTTCGGTCCAAATAAACAAGTAATAAAATCGAATCAGACTAGTTGGTCAGGTTGGATTAGATTCTAGACCAAGTGGTTAGACAACTGGACTAGTCCAGTCAAGTCTAGGTGATATTTTGAAAATAATATTTTGTAATTTGGAATATTGTTTTTTATTGTTGTTCAATATTTTTGGAGATGATTGTGAATTTATGATTAAGTTTTGATTTTTTGGAATGATTTTTATATGATTATAGGTTTTTTTTATAATCATAATTGTGTTTATTAGATTGTGATATGGTGATTTTTTTTTTAAAAAAAGAAAATTGAAGTCCTAGATTGCCTGAACTGGTCTAGGCAGTCTGATGGACCAAATCCAGTCCAGTCTGACTTTGGCTTACTGTTAGACTAGACTCAACCACGAACTGTTAAATCCAATTTGACTAAAAATCATATTAGACTTTAGGCTTGGCTCTTGTCTGATTTGGTTTGTCTATTGTCCAATCCTATAATTGACCATAATCCAAGATGATAGCCAAAAATTTTTGAACATAAGTGTAAAAGTCGTGAATCATGGGGATGGAAGGAAGAGCCTGATAACAGTTTTTGGGTAAATTTTAGAATACCAATGGCTTCTTTTATTATTTGCATTTCACAATAGGTTTCTTTATTTTATAGTAAAATTCTGGTTAAGAAAAATATGGTAATATATTATAAGATTTAGAAGGGTAAAGATCTACCCAACACTCCAATGTTATTACCCTGGTACCTTCAATAGTCTAGTAGTGGAAGTTTTTATCCATAATCTATT